CACAATTTTGGGAAACATTTCATTTGAAGAATCGCGATGCTTGCACGATGAAGACGTTCTCTCCCTGAAAAATGTAAGACAAATTATATTTTTATTGATTTTTTTTTCAGTTCATTCATATGCTGAGAAACTTTTAATACTGCCGTCAGATTATATATAGCAGTACACACACATATTGTGATACGATCTCACGATCTGTTAGAATTGTTTATTTATTCTGTTTATTGTTCATCAACACATCCTTGTTTTTCTCACAGCTCCCATAGAGAGAGAGAGAGAGAGAGCGCAAGCATGACACACACAGCAACCTGATACCACGGGCACGTAAGACACAGATGAGTCCGGATATGGGAACGGACCATAATATCTTCAAAAACAATACTTAATTTATCACCTGTCATCCTCGCTCGCTTACAAAAACATAATTTGTCATCCCCGGAGATCAAAGGTTGACGGCCGGATTTCACGCACGCCGGTTTTCGCATATGGAAATTATTATGATGTCAAAGGTCGCATATGGATATAATTATGGGTCAAAGATCAAAGTCATCAATCAAAATTGGCATAAGCTCCCGGTTATTGACTACTATGGGATCTAAAGGTTATGACTTCACATTCCATGGCCACAAGATAACGATGTGGTTATTTTGACAAAATTATTTGACAAGATATATTATCACATTCCCATTAGTTAATATAATGTGGTCACAACAAAATTTAGCAAACCAAACCTATCCCTTCCAAGGCCCCATAGCAATGCATATGGCATGTGGCAATTGGTATTGTATCTGATGTGTTCAAAAACAAACCTGTGGAAAACAGCGAAGCAGTCATGACAGACAGAGGTGTGGCTGTCGAATGGGAAGAGAATGTCACCCTCTTTACACAATTCACACATGAAGCCTTTGGCCTGGCATTTCTGATGGCACAAAGAAAGAGAGAGTTAAGATTAAATCAGATGCTGGCATAGTAGCACACTCACACATAGATGAACTAATTTTACATCAGAGGCTTCTCACTTTCAAGGGGTCATACCATGATCACGTTAGACATATAATTCAGAGAATACATATATATATATATATATATATATATAGTGGGTATAGAAAAGAATCACCCCCCTTTAAAATAATCCCATTTTGTTGATTTGCAGCCTGAAATGAAGACAGACACAGTTTTTGTTTTATCCATCCAAGTGAAAGATATAACACCAACCAACAGAAAACTTTCTTGAACCACCTTTTGCTTTAATTACAGCCTTTAGTCTGTTGGGATATGTC